GGATCATGTAAGAACCACACGAGTGCCCCTCCCAGACCAGAATGCAGCTCCTAGGAATCTCATACTCTTGAACTCACCTATGCTCAGCCACCAGCTTGTCAAATACGCATTCTGTGTTCCCATCCGTTTATGAGTCCAGCAGCTTCTGTTCTTGGTAAGCAGACTTCACTGTGGTTCTCAGTATTTGTCTACCTCTCAAGAATCCTGCAGTGGCAGTTTGTCCTTCAATTCCAAGTCTCTAGTAGATCCAAGAAAAGTTAGGGAGGGGCTAGGAAGGTGGCTCAGAGGTAGAGCACTTGCCTTGCATGCATGAGGCCCTGGGTTCGATTCCTCAGCACCACATAAGCAAAAAGAAAAAAACCCGGAAGTGGCACTGTGACTCAAGTGGTAGAGCGCTAGCCTTGAGCTGAAGAGCTGAGGGACAGCGCCCAGGCCCAGAGTTCAGGCCCCACGATCGGACTTCTCCCCTTCCCCCCCCCCCAAAAAAAAAGAAAAGAGAAGTCAGGGATTTTTAATGTATTCAGTACATTCTTTTTCTTTTTCCTGAAAAGACAAACATGGTGACTCTAGTTCTTCACATTTTGGAGCCGAAACTGGAAGGAATAAGCCATTTGGACACAAATTTCCTGATAGAGTCATTGTTGACTCTAGATAGATTTTGACACTGCTATATTGTGTGTGTGAATGCACACGTGCACGCACACTGTAATTTTCTATAAAATGAAATGTGCAGTGGAACCCTGAACTTTCTGCTGTTCTCAGTCTCCCCTTCCCCAGCCCACTCCCACCAACCCCCCTTTTCCTTTCATTTCAGATAGAAGGGAGTGGAACTCAGGAATGTGGAAAGGGGACTTCTATTTTTTTTTTTACCCATTATTTGCTAATCAAGAACTGAAAATAACCTTTTACAAAATGGCCTTGGTAAAGTAGCTAAGTCAAAACAATATTCATCATGAAACAAGTAAGATACAGAAAGACTCCAATTTAAATTTTCTAATCTATTTCTTAAAAAATGGAGTCAGTTGAGAGATGGAATTCTTGTCTTCATCCTCCTCGAATTTTGTTTCCTTACTCTTTTACTGTTTAATTTCCTGAGCCTAACTCCTTCAGAACTAAAGAGTGTGGCTACCAACCTTTTAGCTAAGCAGAACAGTCGTACCCGAACACCACCCTGGATTAAGTGTGTATTGCCCGACCAGGAAATAGCAGATACATTTCTTTGAAGGTATTTCTTTTCCTTTTTAGTAATACAATGATAAAAAGAAAAATGACTCAGACATTTACTATGGGCAGAAATTGTGATGCTTTCTCTCTAAATGGTTTATTTTTTATTTTCATTTTTTATTTATAGTTTCCATATTTTATATTTCCTATTGTATTTTATTTATTATTTATTTATTCCCTATTATTGCCCTTGAAAATCAGAAAACTGTGGACCACAAAAGTATGAGACCCTCCTGAAGTCAGAAAGTTAGTACATAGTAAAGGCAGAATTCCAACTGAAATCTGTCTGACTTAAGTTCTATGCTTTCCCAGGCTCCTACTCTCAGAGGCAGAATATAAGCATGTGATAAACACCACTAGAGTTCTTTCCTCTACCTTGGGAATACCTATTTGCAAGTCCCAATTAGACAGCTAATTTAGCAGTCAGCCCAGATACTGCCCTTAAATTATCCCAGTGGCTGTAATTCCCATAAGGCAGGGATTATAATCCATTTACTGGTGAGTCCTCAACACAATGGTGCTAGCAGTAATATTTGTGGAAACATTAGTGAATGAACAGGGAATAACCTCATGATGTGAGGGATGAATGAATGAATGAGTGACTAAATAAATGCAACAGCTCTCAGTATGATGAGAGAAAGAAGCCTTTCCAAGCATCATGGAGTTTTCTCTGGGCTTTATTCCTGCAAGTTTCAGGGGGACTGAGACCATATTCTTTCTGACTAAATTAGCACACGCCTGGCACAATATATGTTTAACAAACTTTTGTGCTTTTTGATGGATTAACTGGAGAAAATGCCTTTCTTCAAGAACAAGTATCTCTGGGCTTTGGAGAATGACTGACAGTAGTTCTTTTCCTCAGCCTAAGGCCTTTACTAGATAACTCTCTTCTTATCTCTCCCTACTTCCTCTTCCCAGAAAACACATAGTTATGATTACAAGCACCATTCCTCACTTCACATTCCTCACCTGAGTCTTCCCTGACTCTGCTTAGCCCACGAGCATCACCAAGGACTACCCAGTAAAACTTCTTTGAATGAGAATGTCACCACGCTCCCTCAGCCAGGGAAGGGCTTAGAGCTCATTGACTGTCGGAGGTGAATAAGAAGGCATGCGTGATTAACCCACCAATAGACAGGCCAGGAGCCTGCTTCTGCCTGTCAGTCCAGGACTCTAGGCTTACTGAGGCACTACCATTTCTATGCTTGCTTTCATGTCTTCATGGTGGTCTCAGCCCAGAAAAGATGGTACTTGATGTTAAACACAGAAGGAACTCTATTATTGTGCCTGGTTTTGCTTGCTTCTCCCTCCCTCCCTCCCCCTTCTTTCCTTCCTTCCTTCCTTCCTTCCTTCCTCCCTCCCTCCCTTCCTTCCTTCCTTTCTCTCTTTCATAATACAAGAGGAGAAAAAACCCAGAAATGCAAAGAAAGGCTCTCCATCACCACCTTCTGGCCGGCCCACCAGGGCCAGGGAGCCCAAGCACAGTTCCTCTGGACACAGGAATGAGAGCTGAGGGAAGGGAGAACTTCAGCTTGCACAGTACAGCTGCACTCCAGCATGGGGAAAGCTAAGTCACGGTGTGAAGCAAGATGCTGTTGAGTCTATAACCCTGTGTTTAAAAAAAAATCATAGAACTTGGACTTTAATCATAAAGATCATTTTACCAAAGCATATTTTTAAAAGGCTGTGAAATATTATGCAACGTTGGCATGGTTTAATTATGAGTTTAGAAAAGCCGAGCACAACTTTTTCACTACAGTAAAACATGACAGAGCATGAATCATGGCATAATACTTTATGCTTAGTGTGGTTTTCGACACGGGGTCTGAGTGCTAGGCTGTCTACAGAACAAGGCATGAATTACTATCCCACAATTCACACCCCAGAGGGCTTTATGACAATTATAAAACCTCTTTTGTTTACTTTTTAAGTGATTAAAATATTTGAGCACTATATACTCACTTGGTAAATGTATGTATCTAGAACATAAGCATGGCCTGTAGAAACTATCTGAGCGTATCTGGTGGCATTTTTTCCCCTCCTGTGAGGAGTATAACACTCGCCTAACATGGTGTGGCAGCACAGCCTGCCCTGTCTGTGAGATTACACGGGAGTTCCACCTGCCTTTGAACATTTTCGTTTCTGCTGAGTTTACCAACTCTTTTATTCCTTGCCATCTCTCCAAATCCTCCAAAATGTAAACGGAAATGAAGACCTTTCTTTACTACTGGATTTCAAAGATTCCAAGTTAAAGTATTTTCCACAGGAACCAGTGAGGGGTTTTTAAGATTTATATATTCCATTGTTTTAAGGAAAGGGAAGAGAAGAAGTGAAGAGGTGAAGTGGGAGAGGGCAGGGGAGAAGCCGTGTGAGGCAGGAAGGCTGACTGTCCAGAGAAGGGAGAGGAGGAAGTCTTGGTCCCCTGAGGTCTGATTCTGTAGTCCACTGGGGGAACTTCAAAGAGATAAATAGAAAAACAGATACACTTCAAAAGAGATAAACTTTAATTAAATGAAAAGCCCCCAGAGGCAGCAGATATAAATATTTTATAATTATCAGGAACAGCTCATTTCTTTAGCTAATGACATATGCAAAATGGGCACCCAGTATTTTCCTAAAGAACTCTGCCTTCCTGGATTGCTGTTCTCTTTGTCCACCAAGAAGGTGGCATGCAAAAAAAAATTAACATTTAACTTTCAAGAAAAGTACAAATTTCCTTGTACATTTTGCCTATGAATAGTCTCACTCTCCCTAGACACACACACACACACACACACACAGCAAACAACGTGATGCTTTTGACAACGAAGACTTCAACAAGGTGTGGGATACACTCCTATTATCCCAGGACTCAGAAGGCTCAAGCAAGTTAGAGGCCAATTGGGGAAACAAGGTGATACCCCGCTTCAACAAAACAAAGATTCCTCTGAATGCTGGAGTCAGATGCACAAAATTCATTGTGTCTCAATAGTTGGAAGCTAGGCTTTGGTCTCTGCTTTATCCCAGGCCTCTTACAATGGCAATCTACAGCACACAAGCTCAAAAAGATAGCTCCGGCCATTAAAAAAAAAAAAAAAGTAGCCAACTTCAGCTGTTGAAAAGAAGCCCCTGGCAGATTTGTCTTACAACTGGTTGTTGCAGTTTATTGCCAGCTTCCCTGCCAGATCTTCCAGGCTGTCATTTTTTTTCTGTTCCTATAGATGTGTGTTTTGTTTTGTTTTGCTCTCTTCTCATTCTTCTCTTCTCCTCCTCTCTTTTGTCATTATTCTTAGAAGACACTTGCCTAAATAATACATCCAAGCCTATAGAATATTTTTGCCCAAGGTACAAAAAAAAGTCCCCAAATTTTACATTCTTCTACCTAATCCAGATAGACAGAAGATTACCCATGTTTATAAAATATTTTTATGATAATTATAATTACTGGTAAGTCTGAAGCAGAACATTCTGTACCTGAAGTTATTTGATAGTCTAGAGCTTCGCACATTATTATTAATGCAGACATCATTATTAATATGATTAAGTAAAACTTACTTTTGGAAGGAAGAGTTACCAGACAAAAGCTCCAGTGTGTGTTCATATTTGGGGCGGGGTATGGAATTATCCAACAGAGGCATGGGAGAGTTGGGTTCAGCATGCTTAGTAAACACTGGTAAACAGGCTACAAGCATGCACAGCAATTAAAACCAAGGTTCCTAGTTTTGCATGTAGAGGCTTCTTCTTTCTTTTTTTTTTAAAATCCCACCCCACTTAACCAGAAACCTGATTCTCTGCAGACACCAGGCAGATCCAGCCATCCCCACCATGGTCCTACGATCAGTCCTACCAGTACCTGGGATCCATCGCCCCTCCTTCCGTGCACCCAGCAACGCCCATTTCACCAGGACGTGCCAGCGGCATGACGAGCCTCTCTGCAGAACTCTCCAGTCGACTCTCATGTAAGCCTCTTGAGAACATATTTGCAACCCAGCTAGAGAGGAAGGTGTTGGAGACTAGAGGAGGGGAACACAGGGGGTGAGCAGCACATAATTCACTGAACAGAATACGGTCTCCAGAGAGACATGACTGTCCCAGGCCCACGCACTGGGTTTGGTTTGTCTGATTGGTTGGTTTGGTTTGACACTTAAAAGTTAGATTGTGAAAGTGGAGGAAGATTTTCTTTTGGAATTCAGTTCCTCAGGAACTCAGAGATTGCTCATGTCTGCCAGAGAGGGGTAATGGATAAAGGGATAATAGTTCGAAAGGTCACAGTATCAAAAGGACATGATTTTGCACCTTCAGTAAAGAAATCATTCCTGGCCAGTGCTAGTAGCTCATGCTTGTACTCAGGAGTCTGAGATCTGAGGATCACGGTTCAAAGCTAGCCCAGGCAGGAAACTCTATGAGACACTTATCTCCAATGAACCACCAAAAAGCCAAAAGTGGAGTTGAAGCTCAAGTGGTACAGTGTTAGCCTTGAGCAAAAAAGCTAAGGAACAGTGTTCAGACACTGAGTTCAAGCCTCAGTACTGGCATGTGCGCACACACACACCGAAAGAAAGGAAAGACAAGAAGTCACCCCAAATGAATTCTAGACTGACAGGTCTGGTCCACATGGCGTTGATGAATTCACAAGCCTGCAAACAGTACGTCCATGGAGTCCATGTGGAATAGGAAGAAGCTAGTCCCCCGCCCACCCCCCACTCCCCCATGAGGCATTCCCAACTGAGAGCTGTTCAGGCTGAAGGAAGGACCGAGAGCTCAGGTGTCATGGTTAGTATAATTGTTGTTAATACGAGCTCATTAAATATTAGTCATTTAACCTGCCAGCCCTGTGGGCTTGGCGCTCACCTTTGCTCGTGGGCAGGGAAATTGAAGTTACAGAGAAAAATTCCTTTGTGGAAGGCAAAAGAAGCAACTTAATGTTTGGGGCTTTGAAATTGGAGCTGAACCAAAGGGTGAAAATCCTTTAGAGGACTTCAGCATGATGAAGCCTACAAACACACTTGCATGTGTGCAGGGGGAGGGGTGGGTTTAGCTTTTCAAAAGGCCCAGGGATCAGATGATAGCAGATTAGGGGAGCAGGCAAAGGGGCAAAGGAGTTGTGTCTGCCAGTTGAAATCTTGTGCAATGCGGTGTTTCCAGACAGTCGTGATTACTTGAGGTTCCTCCAGATGCCTGAGCTGCTTCGAGTTACACAGAATGACTTCTCAGAGCCACTCAGCAGCATCACAGCAGCGCTGACACTTGGGCCAAAGAACTCACGCTTGCCGGAGGGCTCTCCTGTGCCCTGCAGCATCTGCAGCAGCACCTCTGGCTTCGAGATGCCAGGGGCACCCCTCCCCCCATAAGACTGACCATCAGAAATGTCTCTAGTTATTGGTAACTGTCCACAGGAGGTGGGCAGTTCTCCCCACCCCCAAGTTGGGTGCGATGGCAAAGTAGGAAAGAACCAGCGTAGGTGCTCAGTTTTCACACTGTTTGGCCATCCGTGCCAGCATTTTCCTAACACCTGTTAGTTTATGGGGTAGGGAGAGACCCACGGGAATTGTGGCATCTGTTAAACTTGCTGTCTCTAAAGCCTATCCCTTGGAGACAGAGGTTGATTCCAAAGGCACTTGACATCTTTTCCCGATTGTTCTAGTACTGCATGGTGGCACTGCACAGCCCGCTGGCCACGGGCTACATCTGCAACAATGATGTTTCCCTTGGAAATGTCCCTGCTGTGGGTCTGTCCCTTGGAATTTATTACATAAACCATCGGACTTGGTCTCTACCCAAGATTGGCACCTCAGTGTCCAAGAACTCTAGGGGCCAGCCCCTCTAGCCGGCCAGTGTTCAGACGTAATGGTGGCGTCTTGTTAAAGATATAAATAAAAGGTATACTTCAAATCTCAAATCCCAGCTCTGCTTCTCCATAAGCAGCCTTTGATTACCCAAAGAGTAAGAAGGATGCTTTTCAGCATGGGGATGTGACCCAGCCATGTCCCACATCTGCACGCAGGGATGACCCTCTGTTGTCTTGGGAGGGAGGACCAAAGGATTCCAGACGAGTTTTCACCAGTGGCAGAGAACAGTATGGAAGACTGCTCTTTAACTTGGCAGGACTTCCTCTGAGAAATCAAGCCTGGAGCACAGGCCTGAAAAGTGTTGTCATAAACCTGAGGGCAGGATAAGACTGAGACACATGAAAGAAAGTGGCTGCCCAAGCCGAAGGCTTTGAAAACTTGACACTCCTCTGTGGCTGCTTCACATTTTCATCCTCACCCCACAGCTCTGTGCACTGCCCCTCAGCCTATGCCCAACCCCACCGGGGCTTGCTTCTGTCCTGGGGACTGGGGCTCTGGTTGAGATCTCTGTGTCTGTCTCTCTCTCTCTCTCTCTCTCTCTCTCTCTCTTGCTCTCTCTCTGGCCTTTGCAGACAGACTCCACACCTTGTCTGAAAAGAGTTGTCATCTGGAGGTTTACTTTTCTTTTTTCTTTTTGTAAAAAAAAAAAATTAATGTTTAGCTGCCAACCTGGGCGACAGACAGCTTGCATTAATCTGAGTCATGCAAAAGATCCTTTTAAGGCAGCCATTATCTGCTCAGGTTGGTTAATCCTGTGGGGGCAGTGGGAGGGGCTGGAGTAGAGCTGCTTTCATCCATGTAAAGCTACAGAGCAAAGAGCTGTCCTAGCAAATATTTAGCACCATCGATCCAAGTAAAATAACTGAACCTCCTAATCCCCAGATTTCTTACTCTTAAAAAAAAAAAAAAGCTCCCTGTGAATATCAAGGGTCTCCACTTCCACTCATACTGCTATAGAATTGAAGAAGAGGACACCAGACCAGCCAAAAGGATACATGAGCGATGGCTACGTGGGTAAATTATGTATGACTGATGAGTCTTAATTAGGGATGTCAAACCAGACTTACAGATGAAAACCAAGTTGGGTGCCAGTGGCTCACACCTGTAATCCTAGCTACTCAAGAAGCTGAGATCTGAGGATCATGGTTCAAAGCCAACTGAGACAGGAAAGTCTGTAAAACTCTTTATCTCCAATTAACTATCAAAAAAATTCTAAAAGGCCAGAAGTGGAGGAAGTGCAGTTATGCTAGAGTGCTAGCCTTGAGCAAAAAGAGCTCAGGGACAGTACCCAGGCTGGAGGTAGGGGGGAGTTTAAGCTCTAGGACCAGTGCACACGTGCATGTGCGCACGTGCGTGTGTGTATATGTGTGTAAAGATAGAGTGTGTAAAGATAGAGAGTCAGAGAGACAGGAGGAGAAGAATTTGACCCAGTGGATGATGTTTTATAAAATGACAGTGCTACTATGTAGGCAGAAGAAGAATCACAGGCAATATTTCAGATCTTTCAAATATTCTTCCCACAAGTGAAAGAACTATTTTCTCCCAACAGCTGAGTCTGTAACATTATTCCAGGACTTATGCCCATGACAAATTGCAGACTCACTCAGGATTCCAGTAACTTGGTACCATCACCACATTACCATGCAGTGGTTGGAACCGACTGGCAGAGCATGTCCAGACACTGCTGTGAAACATGGTGACCTTTCATTCATTTTTCCAGTGAATTCACCTTTTTGTCTCAGGGCAAATGAAGCAAGAAAAATAATGGGCAGAGTCATTTATTTGTGTCCAGAGCATTACATGAGATGATAACAAATTGATTTTTATTTGCCTAATGCTTTTCCTTCTACCCTGGCTTCTCCCTAGACTATATATATGTGTATCTAACTGGAAAAATGGAGTCAAGCTTCCTGTTAACTCTCAAACATGTCACAGCTCTCTGCGCAAGCAAAACAAGTGACACAGGGCTTGCTCACAGATGGCTCCAGCTAGGGGGCAGGGATGAACCCTGCGGAATGAGGTGTGGCCTGGCTGGAGAATAAACTAGTGAGTAGCCAAGGAAGGGCAGCCCCAGAATCGCTGTCAGTTTACAACATTTTCCCTGCCCACATGTCTGACTCGCTTTGAAAAGATTAACAGGAGTGTTTGTTTGAAAGTCAGACTCCTGGTTTCCTCATTAATGGAGGGATTTGCTGCAGACCTCCACTGTTTCTATAAACTTTAATTACCTATCTGATGAGTAGTCTATCCCCGCATCCCATTCACCCCAAATATACAGTCCATTTTGAAAAATGTGTTAGAGCAATAAAAGATCATTGCATGGAGGGAAGAATGAAAGGAAGGAGCTGTGTAAGAGAGAGAGAGAGACAGAGATAAAGAGACAGAGACAGAGAAAGAAAGAGAGAGGAAGGACTGGAGGAGAGCGGGAGAAAGAGGAAGAGAGCGACAAAGAGACAGAGAAACACCCATCAAACTAGCTCTCCTTGCTGGAATAATAGGCTTGAAATATGAGGAAGTTGATCAACAACCGATGCCTTCCAAAAACATATTAATCTACCCTGGTAGCTTTCCTTTCAGGGCAAGCACCCTCAAGTATCTCCTGCCAGCCTGAACCCAAAAGAACACAGGACCTGTGCCATCAGAACTTAAATGTATTCCATGTGCTAAATTGAGAGCTTAAAGTTTTAAACGTTGAATTACAACTTTTTTGTTTTGTTGCTGTTTTTGAGTTTGTAGATGTAACAATCATGGTTCTGGCCTGCTCATTTAATCAGTAGTTCTGAAGGACAGACCCTAGCGTCGTAGTTCTCAGCCAGGGCCGGCTACCCCTCCCTCGTACCCACCTTCATGTTATTTGGCAATCACAGGGCACATTTGGGTTGTCACTCTAGAGGACATCCGACAATGTACATCAACCACCCCTCCAAATAACCTGATAAACCCTGATCTATTCAGAAACCTTTCCTGGCATTCATACCCTCTAAAAATTCCCAAGGGTAGCATGGAGGTAGGCAAAATGCAGAGGGATATATCACATGCCATCGTACCCGATATCCCGTGTTATTTTCTACCATTATTCAGCGCCTTTCTTACCATCAACCCGGGCGCGTAGCATTCTGGGTAATCATCTACTGGCGGGTGCTTAGCTTTGCAGGTCATCCTCCACTTCCGGCACGTGCAATTCTAGAGTCCTCCACTTCCGGTGCATGCCATTCTAGGTAGACCTTCACTTCCGGGTAGTGGCATCCTGGGTGGTTTCCACTTTCGGGGCGCATGACATCCTGGGTAATCCTCTCTTTCCGCGTTCATAGCATTCTGGGTAGAAAGCACCTTCTTCCCGAGAGGCAGCACCCCAGGCAATCCCTGACTTCGGATGCGTGGCATTCTGGGTATTCCCGGGCCGCCCTGCGCTTCCTGCGCTTCCTGCGCAGGCGCGTTCCGGCGGAACCCCCCCCCCCCCCCCCCCCCCCCCCGTCGGTCCCGCCATCCTTGCTGCGCAGTCGCAGCAGCCATCCTTGCTGCGCAGCCGCAGTCACGCGTCCCTTTCTCTCCCGCCCGCAGCCGCCGCGCCGGACCTGACGGCCTTCGGAGACCCGCGCCAGTTCCCCGCGCTGCCCTCCATCTCGGACCCGCGCATGCACTACCCGGGCGCCTTCACCTACTCGCCCACGCCGGTGACGTCGGGCATCGGCATCGGCATGTCGGCCATGAGCTCGGCCTCGCGCTACCACACGTACCTGCCGCCGCCCTACCCCGGGTCGTCGCAGGCGCAGGGCGGCCCGTTCCCCGCGGGCTCGCCGCCCTACCACCTCTACTACGGCGCCTCGGCCGGCTCCTACCAGTTCTCGGTGGTGGGCGGCGAGCGCTCGCCGCCGCGCATCCTGCCGCCCTGCACCAACGCGTCCACCGGCGCGGCGCTGCTCAACCCCAGCCTCCCGAACCAGAGCGACGTGGTGGAAGCCGAGGGCAGCCACAGCAACTCGCCCACCAACATGGCGCCCGCCGCGCGCCTGGAGGAGGCCGTGTGGCGCCCCTACTGAGTGAGGCCCGCGTCCTGGCCGCCCTGGCTGCCCTCCTCCTCCTCCCCCCGGGGGCCGTCCGCGGACCCGGGGGAGGGCCTGCCGTCCAGGCCCCCCTCGGCCTCCTGCACTTACCGAAGCCCGCGCAGTTCGCTCCCCGCCACCGGCCCGCGGCCCTCGGCAGACCTGGACGCGCCGACCCCGCGTGCCGGCGTCCACGTGCGTCCGCTGGAGCCAGCGAGGCTTTGCCGAGGGAAACTGTGAATGCTTCCGTGTTAGCAATGCTGTGAATAAAAGAAAGGTTTTGTACCCTTGACTTCACTTTTTAACCAAGTTGTTTATTCCAGAGAGTGGAATTTTGATGATGGGGGGAGGGGGACACCGCGTCCTGTTTGGCGTTTATTTCTCCCCCTGATTTTCTTTACTTCCCCCCCCCTCCACACCCCGCACCTTATAAATGGCAAAAAAAAAAAAAAAAATGCTTATCGGCATTGCGGTGGTTCTTATTTTTATATCTATCTATAAAAATCTGAGCATCTTTCTTGCTTTGACACTTAAATAGGATTCCCATTTCTGTACGGTTTATTTAACTTTTCTTTTGGACTTCTGTGTAGGGTTTTTGTTTTTTGAGAGAGACAGCTACAGCTTTGGGTCATTTTAACTACTGTATTCCCACAAGGAATCCCTATTTATGTATCTTGATATTCAGACATTTACTTATATGTTGATACTTTTTTAATTATTTAATTGTACTTATATTAAGAAGAGAAATATCAAGTACTACATTTCTGTTTTTGTTTTTTAATAGTAGCCAAAGTTAAACGTACTGAAAAAAGCTGAGGGGGAAAAAAAGGATGGGTTATGTGATGGCTTGGTTATCTAGAAATATTGTTTACATTAAACTCCCTTTCATGTTAATCAAACAAGTTGGTAGCTAATGCAGCAATGTTTTCAATAGGATTTTTGATACTGAGGGTCACTCCCACGATCAGAAGTATGGAGCTTAGCCAAGGATGTCATCTAGCTTCAAACAGAGAAGGTAGAATCTGGTCTCAGAGGATTCAGGAGGTGCCAATGATTAGACCTGCAGAGAGGATTTAATTTCTGCCTAGGGTAAGCTCACTCAAAGACCTTCTGATCATTTCAGACATGCTCTGTAACAGAAGGCATCCGAGGTAAGCTGTGTGGAGAAGCACTATTTACAAAGAACCAAATGAATGAATTTAGGAATTTCCGAACTGCTTGAGTCTGGGGTAGCAAGAAAATATTTCTCTCTGATACAGTACCAGTTCACTGAAGCAGAACAAAAGTTGTGGCTGTCCCACAAGATGCTGAGAGAAGGGATAGGACCAGGTGCCTTTGAGGAACAATGGTCTCCAGTGGGTAGGCCAAAAGCAGGCCCAAAGGAACTAATTTTCCTGGGCCTGCTCAGGGTAGTACATGGCAGAACATCCCATCAGTACAGGACTCCCATCCCAGTTGTTCCCCAACATATTTGTGTTGCTTCCACCAGGTTAAGACCCTAACCCATGGGGGAGGTTATGTGCACTTTTATCTGTGCCCCAGCGTGACAGGAAAGATTCACTGCTGCCCATAGCTACAATTCAGTTGTATCTGGTGTCACTGTAAAGTTTGTGGCACTATTTTTATTAGAGGACTTGTCAGAATGCAGGTGTTGTACAACTGGTAAATATTAACTGCTGATTTTGACATGTGTGCTCAAAATGATCTGGTTGTTTGTTTAATGTACCTCTTAAATTAGTTGAAATGATTTCAGGTCAACTCTGAAGAGTGTTTGAAAGCAGGACTTCAGAACAGTGTTTGATTTTTATTTTATAAATTTAAGCATTCAAATTAGATCTTTGGCTGCAGGCAGCAAAACAGCTGGACTTATTTAAAACAACTTATTTTTGAGTTTATATATATATATGATGATGATGATTATTTGTTTTACACATGCAGTAGCACTTTGGTAAGAGTTAAAGAATAAAGCAGCTTGTGGTTGACAGGTCATTCTTAATAGAGAAGAGCTATAGCAGACCTTGGAGAAACTCTGAATAATACTCCTTTTTATTTTAGATATTGCTCCCTTTACAACTCAATTACATAGGTTATTTCATATTACATTTTTGGATCACAGTTTAGAAAGTTAAATTTTCAGTTCTGAAAAAGGACTATTAGCCCATTTCTCCAATATTTCTTAAATGTTCTTTTTGGCACATGTTGTCATAATCTGACCTGAGATAATGCTGGGGAAAGATGAAGGAAAAAATTATTTTTCACTTTAATCCTGGTACCTGAAGATACTCCAATTCAAATCTGACCTAGTGGTCTAAGAGGAGAATCAGATAATCTCTCACGCTGAACCTTACTCTCAGCGCCAAGCATGGAGTGGCGTGGTCACTTTGTTGTAGACTCGCTGGTTTGACCATTCACAGCTTTATAAACCCTTACCAGCCTAGATAGTATTTAATCCTTTAAGAAAACAAAAATCAAACCTTAGTTCTTTTGGAAATAGATCTCGCAGAAACACATTTTTCTATCTAAGGAATTGCATTCATTTGCCTTTGGTTAAATTAAAGTGTCTTCAGGTAAATAACAGCATCAGCAAGACCCTGCAGTTAGTCGTGTAATAACTGTATGTATCTGGGAGCACTGTCCAGGAGAAGAGAGTGAATAAACCCTTTCTACTGCTTATTTATGACCCCATTTAAAAAATTCAACATTTCAGTTCTGTTTTTCTATCTGGAAATGTTTTCCTCCCTTCTCAAACCCTCCCTTTCCTCTTCCCCTCCGCCTCCAAACGCTAGTCTCCATCCTACATTCTCTCAGTCTCTGTAAAGAGGTGGTACACACCCATCCTATAACCAAGGTCCAGACCACAAGGAGATCCAGCTCTCCTTTTGCATAGAGAACAGTCTGAGTCAGCCTTTCTCCTGTTCATGGGTTTCTTCCAGCAGAATAGAGACCTTGCCAACCATTTTGGATCTGCTTGCTGTCCAAATACAGCAACAGAAATCTTCCTCCTTGGCAAATCACAATCAGTGAGTTAGCCTTTCTGCTGCCTAAGGTTTCTGTGCAGATAAACAGAAGTGCTCTGATTAGAAAGGAAATGAATGGTTACACTTAACTGTCCTACAATTTAGGATTGCAGATTTCTTTCTTGAAATACCTGTTTCCTTGGGACATTCCATCCTAGTGATTTGGGGTTTTGATGGTTTGGGATTTGTTTGTTGTTTTGGTTTGGTTTTTTTGTTTTTTTGTTTCTTGTTTTTTTTTGCTGGGGGGGAATGACATGTTTGGGATCTTTTGTACATGAAAAAAAATGGTTTGACAATCTCAAGAAAACTTTCTTTTTTACATCTGAACAAAATATCTTTCTGTTTACCCTACAGTATACAATTATTTGGGATTTTTTTCATTGTTGTTGGTTGGTTGTTGGGAATTTCTTCCCTCCCTTCAAGTTAGGTCAGTATTGATAAAGCTGATCATTTGGCTTTTATTTCTCTCCTCCAGAAGGGTTGCATCAACAAAGTTAATTGTATTTATGTATGTAAATAGATTTTAAGCTTCATTATAAAGTATTGTTAATGCCTGTAATAACTTTTTTCAATTTTTGTATGTTTCTGAGGACTTTATGTTTGCTAAATACTGTAGAAAAAAGTGCTTCTTTCTACTTTATTTTAGACTTTTAAACGAACTATTTCTTTCTTACTGACTTTTGTAAACAGCTAATAGCATGGTTCCAATTTTTTTTAAGTTCACTTTTTGTTCTAGGGGAAATGAATGTGCAAAAAAAAAAAAACCAAAATGAACTGTTGGTTATTTGTGTTATTCTGGATGTATTAAAAAAAAAATCAAAGGAAAAAAAATAAACTTCCAAATTGAAATCACAGTATAACAAACCTATTGAAACATACCTATTCTCTTACCATGAGACAGAGTTCTTTAGGTCCCACCTACTGGCTATTTGTGTGGCAATTAAGAGATTTGGTAACAGAACATCCTGGAAATTAACATGTGGACTTTCTTCTCTGGCATTGATATTCTGAAAACTTCCTGAGGGAGTAATGTGAAGCTCAAGTCTTAAACCAGATAATAGTGGAAATAATTCCCCAGAACTCCCTCTTTAAGGTGTTTATCAACCTCACAGAAGAGCAGCCACTCCATTGATGCCATCCACTAAACATAATTGAGTGATCACCCCCCCCCCGTCCCCCCACCTTTCAAGGGGCTCCATCACATTCCATCTGTGCAGGAAGCTGGGCTGCTTGGGCCCCCCAGAATCCATTGGAGCCTTTCTTTGTACAAAAGTTGCTTCTGTAAATCCAATATAACAAGTGCAAATGGCAAGTAATTTGACAAGTACATACAGCCTATCAAATTAGTTTTGTCTTTCAGTCTGAGATGAATGACTGGCTGCCAGATGAAGCCTACATACAATATACTACAAAATACTCTTCACAATAACTCCAAGTTAAAGCTGATTCCTCCCCTTCATTCTTCCAGCATGCCCTGGCTACTGAGGGATAATGACTTGGAGAAGGCCAAGACACACTGGGTTCTTCGAGTGGGGAAAAAACCCAGAAATCTTGTAATCCTTACTTTAAAAGTATTATGACAGAGCCAGGTAGCTACTCAGGAGGCTGAGATCTAGGCTTACAATTTGGAGCCAGCCTGGACAGACAAATTCAAGAGATTTTTATCTCCAATTAGCCAATGAGAAGCCAGAAGTGGTAGAGTACCCACTTGAATTGGGGGGCTGGCGGGGGGGTGGAACAAATGAGAGTATGAGGCCCTGAGTTCAAACTTCCAGTATCTGCGTGGGAAAAACAGTATGCACGCAAACAGTAGAATGTGGATATGTTCAACCTGAAGTCACTTGTACTCATCTACCTTCACATGTGTAAATAAGGGGAGAGCCAGGCTTGGGAAGTGGTTAAGAATTTGTCAAAGACAGTCCTCCTCACTGCCATTTCTATGCTTCGTGCCATTAACCTTTCAACCTCAAGACTGTGAGACTCAAATCACTTTCCTGCCAAGGACTACTACCTAATACTTCTACTTCTGTAACTGCCGTCTCATGGGCCTCATGAATCATCTGAAATGATGTAAAGGATGAACTCAGATTGTCAGAAACATAGGAGGACCTAACACTGGGAAGTAATGACCAATGACCAAGTGATAGGAGATGTATTCATGTTAACATTAGGTTATTGGAGATTTGGACTGAGTACTGGGAGAAGGGGGGAGGGGGGAACTCACCAGAAGATGTTCCATTACCTCTGTGTGTAATACCAGTGGCTCTGGCTTATAATCCTAGCTACTGAAATCTAAGGATTGAGAGTCAGAGCCAGCCTGGGCAAAAAAGTCCACGAGACTCTTCAATTAACCACAAAAAGCCAGAAATGGAGTTGTGGCTCAAGTGGTAGAATGCTAGCCTGTAGCCAAAAAGCTGAAGAACAGTGCCCAGGCCCTGAGTTCAAGCCCCATGATTAGCATAAATAAAAACAAAAACAAGAAAATCCCACTCCTTTGGCGGTAGTGGTTGTTGTGGTTGTGGTTGTGATTGTGGTTGTGCTAGTACTGCAATTAGGGTTAGAACTCAGCCTGGGCACTGTCCCTGAGCTTTAGTCCTCAAAGCTAGTGCTATAACATTGAGCCATAGTTCTAATTCCAGCAGGCTTGATTAATTGGAGATGAGTCTCACAGGCTTTCCTGCTCAACATGACTTTGAACCGTGATTCTCAGATTTCGGCCTCCTTAGTTGCTAGGTTTACAAGGGTGAGCCACCAAAGTACTTCAGTGGAAGAACCTGGCCTGTAGGAGAAAATACCAAATATTTGCATTTGGATGTTGGCCTGAACATCTGGATGGAGTCGTGTATGTCAGATTGCTCTTCCTCCAAGGCACCCTTTGTGAATGTATGCCAATCCTGGGGCTTGAACTCAGGTTCTGGCTCCTGTTCCTCAGCTTTTATGCTCAAGACTAGTGCTCTACCACTTGAGCCACAGCTCCACTTCTGGCTTTTTGGTGGTTAATTGGAGTTAAGAGTCTAATGGACTTTCCTGCCTAGGCTGCCTTCAAACCATGATCCTCAGATTTCATCTTCTTGAAGAGCTAAAATTATAGATATGAGCCACCAGTACTTAACTTACCTCTTGTTTTCCCCCTTTCTGCATTGTTCCCACACCTTGGGATAGGTAACTCAGGAACCTCTGCCTCCCTTCTGATACAATAAACTGAGTCCCCATGCTCATCTCCCCCATAGGGAGATGATAAAAAAAATGTTAAGAGCTCAAGTACCAAGACAGTTGTGTGGCCATTTCTAATATTGGTAATTAAATTTGTTGGGTTTTTATTTTGTTTTGTCAGTTGTGGGGCTTGAACTCTGGGCCTGGGTGCTGACCCTCAGCTCTTCAGCTCAAGGCTAGCGCTCTACCACTTGAGCCACAGTACCACTTCTGGCTTTTTCTGCTTATGTGGTGCTGAGGAATTGAACCCAGGGCCTCATGCATGCAAGCCAAGCACCCTACCACTGAGCCACCTTCCCAGCCAATTTGATGTCTTTTGTTTTTAAAAAGAATACCCAACAACTGGGGATTGAATTTAGAGGTTTCGTGATTGCTTCACAGGCTCTTTGTCATTTGGGCCATATCCTCAGTCCAGTAATTAAATGATGAATGCCTCAAATTCTCCTTGCACTTTTAATTTCATTGATGCTCTTGTAAGGATTAATTAATGTTTTGAAAGTGTTTTGAAGATGAAAAGTCTGAACACGCATACAAAGTATCATTATTTGTTACTACAAATAACTGCTCACAGTCATGTTCTTTCTTTTTTTTTTTTAAATCTCACCGTGGTGATTTCATGTTCCTGAGTCAACTAAAAGTTGTGGGTCCTTTTTGAAAGTCGCTTACAAAGTGGTTGGCCTTCATCAAACTATTCCTACATCAATCCATGTAGTAACTGATTTTGTTCATCTAGCACAGTGGCGTGCTGGACACTGGAAACTGAGGGTGCTCACGCCACCTTCACGGACCACACTCTTAGTTGGTTTTTCTTCTGTTGCCCTCTTGAAATTATTAACAAATTTTTAATTAGGGGATTACATTTCCATTCTACAGGAGACTCACAAATTAGACTGTAGGCCGTCTTACAGAGTAGTAAACAAACCATCAAAGTGTAGCATGTGGGGCCATAATTAGACATGGGAAAGGAAAAACCAAAACAGTACTCATGTAACTCCACCTGAAAACACTGGGAAAGACTTTAATGAATATTGCCAAGGCTTTCAACGTTGGAATCATCATGGCGACAGAGGAGAAGCACGATCTAGATAAAACTAGGACACGATTCATGAACAACAGTAAACACATTTCATTGCCCTGTGTCCTAGTTTTACCTAGCTCTTTGCACACATACCTGGCAGAGATGTTTGAAAAGTGAAGAGATACAGATTGAAAATCACCTCCCAATACCAACAACAAAAAAAGGCAAAGAACAAAGAGAGGGAGGGAGGGAAGGAGGGAAGGAGGGAGGGAGGGAGGGAGGGAGGGAAGGAAGGAAGGAAGGAAGGAAGGAAGGAAGGAAGGAAGGAAGGAAGGAAGGAAGGAAGGAAGGAAGGACTGAACATAGCCAGGCATTACAAAATACTCCTGTAATCTTAGTACTCTAAAGGCTGAAACAGTATTATCTTGAGTTCAAGGTTAGCCTAGTTAGTTCCAGACTAGCCTGGGAAAATTGATCAAGAACCTGTCTCAAAAAAGTGAAGTAGAAGGGAAAGGGGGGGAGAGAGGTGAAGAGAGGATGGGGAAGAGGAACCAGAGGAAGAGGAAGGAAGGAGGAGGAGGAGGAAGAAGAGGAGCAGGGAGAGGAAAGGAAGAGGAGGAGGAAGAAGCAGCTGGGCACTGGCGGCTCATGTCTGTAATCCTAGCTACACAGGAGGCAGGTATCTGAGGGTTACAGTTCAAAGACAGTCCAAGAAGATAATTTCAAGAGACTTATCTCCAATTAACCAGCAAAAAGCAGAAGTGAAGATGTGGCTCAAGTGGTAAAGCACCAATCTTAAGCAAAAAGCCAAGGAAGAATACTAGGACCTGAGTTCAAGCCCCAATACAAGAAGGAAAGGAAGGAAGGAAGGAAGGAAAGAAGGATAGGAGGAAGAGAGGGAGGAGAGGGAGGGAGAAAGAGAGAAAGAAAGACAATGGGCCCAATCAGGGTCAGAACAATTTTATCAGGAGTAAAATAAAGGAACAATTCTCAGAGCTATTTCTGTCTCCAATGCCGTATGTACCTATACATGCACACAGCATACACATGTGTGCACACACCATTAGCTAGACTGCTTGGAGCACCAGGCTGGGAAGGGTAAAGTCATCTGAGCTATTACATGAATTATATTCAAATGACTAAGAGAAAATTTCTATAAAAATTTTGTTCTGTTATTGGCCCCCCCATTCCTTCCCAGCTTCCAGTTGCTGTTCACAGCCATAATCCAGCCCTGAGCCCTCAACAGCAGGTATTTAAAAATATTCCCATCTAAGCTGCTGCATGGTGCTGAAAAACTAGCAGGAAAAGCTAGAAAGACCTCATCACAATCAATAAAAGCTGTGTGTGTTGGTGACTCTGTCATCTCAGCTACTCGGAAGATATAAAGAAGAGGACTGACATCCAGGCTAGTCGGACAAAAGAAAAAGGAGATCCTGCAAAAAAAATAACAAATGCAAAAGGAAAATGAGCTGGAAGCATGGATTGAGTTATAGAGTAGCTACCTAGCAAGTACAAGGTCCTGAGTTCAAATTCAAGTACTTCCAAAAGACAAAAAAGACTAAAAAAGGCAAAAGAAATACACTTGCATGGGGTCTTCATTAGGAGAAGTAATATAACTGTTCC